TCCCCCGCACGTGGCTGCGGGGGGGAATTCTGGGAGTTGAAGTCCACACATCTTAAAATTGATAAGGTTGAGAAACCCTGGTTAAAGCATTCATGAAACAATGTGATTATATTGTATACCTACTGAAAGAAATGCTTTTCTAGGCCTGTAAGATGGAAAAGCATATATTCTGTGATTTTCAAATTTTCTCCTTTCAGGAAGTACTGTTCACATTATTTTCACTGCCAAAGTCCTTGTTGCAGAGCTAAAAAGGCCATTAAGCCATCGATCCACTGCCCTTTTTTAAACAATTCAATCAGAATCTGCCTTCCTGCATCTTAAATCCATTATTCCATATCTTGCACTTTGGAATGACAAAAAATAGTTCTTGACCTTCCTCTCTGTGGCATTTTTTCAGGTATTTGCTATCATATCCCTCATCAGTCTTCCCAAGGTTAAATATACTCTGCCCCTTCTATTTTTCTTAGTAGTCCCCCTATTATTCTCATTGCCCTTCTCTAAATTAGTTTCAGGTTCTCTGAATCCTTCTTAAAGTGTATGCCCAGAAATGGATACAGTAGTTGAGATGGAGTCTGTCCAAAGCAGTATCTGATATTTCCCTTGTTGCTGCCATCCTTGGTGATTAAGTCATAGCAATTTTTCAGTAGTGATTCTATGGAATGCTCTTCCAAGAGAGGTTTTTTAGTCACTGGGCACAACCTTCTCCTTTCCTCAGACTTTTAACCTTAATTAGCTGAGTTGCATCTTTATTACTGATGATACCATTGTGCCTTCTACAGAGTTATCCTTGTTTTTTTTCATTCTGTTAATGTTGTTGGTGATGTCAGCTGCCACTCTTGGGCTCTGTCGTATAATATTCAGAAATAAAGAAATATGCATTTGATCTTCACATGAAAGAACTACATGTATGAATTGCTCATAAAATTCATCCTTCTGATCTCATTGGGCTCCTTCTAACTGCTTCTGCAGTGATTCCAAAGAAGAAGAAAAACATGTGTCCTTCACGGACAGGAAAACTGAAGACCCGATCATTTCTAATAGCATGGAAGGAATATATTCAGCAACTGCAGCAGACTTCAGGTTAGAGTTGTTTTCTAACTATTAACAGTATAACTAACAGCACACTTCTAGAAATGCCTGTACAGAAGTAAATCCCATTATGTTCAATGGGGCTTATTCTAAGGTAAGTGTACATCAGATGTCAGCCTGTTTCTGAAAGAAAGTGGATTTTTGGTTTTGCTTGTGACTACCTGTCCTTGATTTGTCATTTTTCTCTCTGTCTGTTTTACTGCCAATTTACAGTAGTATATCATAACAGGACCTGACAATGTGATTAATAATGACTGATAAATGAAAAGTTTCACATGTTTTGTTTTACTTAATTGTTTCTTTAGCTGTTAATTTGGGTGTGTGGTCTAACCAGCAACCCTGAAATGCTTCACTTCTGAAATTGACAGGAAAAAGCAAATTGATTTATGGATATTTCAACCATCTGTGACCATTTGGGAATATTAATGAATCATTTAGAACATGTAGTTGGTTTTTTTTCTAAAGCAAGATTTCTACTGTGGTTAACTATATACAGGTGTTAGCCCTGCGAGGTAGTCCAGACAAGAAGCACAACCAGGAGTACTAGATCAATCTTTATCGTAAGGTTGCATTAACAGAATCTTACAAGACTAAAAGTATTTCTCCCCTCCTTTCTTTTTATGCTCCAGAAAACTAGGGAGGATCCCTTCTAAAACATTTCTCATGCTCTCCCTCCTTCTGGGGGCTGAGATACCTTTACATCGGGAGCAGTAAATGGTTATATCAGTGACTAAAAAGAATGTATGAATTTTCCAGGATAATGGATTAAAGGGCCAAATACTTTTTCACCCATCCCCATTCAGGAGAAGGGGCAATTTCAAGACTGAATACCAATTCTGTAGGAGACAATCTCCCCATCTTTTTCTTCCACCCAATCACTGCTGTTTCAGAGAAGGGAGGAATCATATGAACAGGACACTACCATGAATATCAGTGTAGCTGTCTCTCAAATTGGGACAAGAGATTGGAGGGAGACCTACACAAGGTATCCTTGAATATAGGATGGGAGCCAATATAATAAATACATAATACATATTCCTCTTTTTAATATTTCAGGTGTGAAGAAGGCCCTCATGTCTATGAAAACAAAGTTCACTTTGAGTGTGGCACCATAACTGAATGTCATGCTGAAAATCATGCAGGAGTTCTTACCACACATATGTAACATCATTTTGGAGTGTTATTTATTCTCACATTTTAAAATCTCCCTATCAGATAGATTCGTTACAAGATGAGCCCACAACATTTATTATATATGATTTAATCAATCTGTTCAAAGACCAGTGGCCAACTATGTTTGGGAGGCAGTATTAACATTTTTACATTGGATTTATTTTTCTGTTACAAGTTCTGAGGTGAGCTGCACATGTCTAACAGGTATAATTAATTGACACATAGTATTCTCTCATATGTTTTTTCACCAAAGGGAGCTCACTAACAGACCTCATTCCATTTCATTTTCGTTGTTGCATATCTTTGCATTTTAGAACCTTTGCCAAGTTTATTGGTATAGATCAGTGTTTCTCAGCCTTGGGAACTCTAAGATGTGTGGACTTCAACTCCCAGAATCCTGGCTCAGGAATTCTGCTGCTGTAC